AACATATGCCCGTATGAGAGAACAACTGCATATTGACACATCAGCTGTCATCCGAGAGTCAATGGTCAGTACGTACCACTTGAGGGGGGGATAGGCATACAGAGGGGATGCAAGAAGTACGAAGTCAAGATGTGAATAGATACAATGGCAGGTCGATATCGGACCATGCGACGACGTCATCGCGGTCGGATAAGTGATTTTGGGCAGGCAAGTCCCCCTTGCAATTGAAATCTGCAGAAGCGGTTGGGGATGTTGAGGGAATCTGGAGAGGATGTGCATGTTCCCAGCAGATTCCCATCAAGGGGGAATTTACTGGGGAATCCGTGGGTAATATGCGTGGAATACGCAGATTCCCTGCATGTTCCCTGCCACCGTAATCTGGCGCTTCACGCGGTGATGGGGACCGACGTTGGCATTTAAGCTTGGGGTGAGAGTCAGATTGCTCGTTACCGTATCGGAAACGAGACGCGACCGGTGGGAATTGAATCTATATTGAATGACTGTGTCGGGACTACTTAGTGTTGCTCACTTCAATGCGTCCGGCACAGTTTACTGCCACGGCCAGCCTTTTTCCCTGTCCTTCCAAGGCGATGACCTTGTCGGCTCGTCGGTATCGCCGTCCGGGGGCCGGGTGCCTGCCACGGACGGTTCTCATAGTGCCGGACTCAGAAGTCAAGGAGGTCATGGAAGACTCGCCTGTGCATCATGCATGACTCTGAATTCATGGAAGCTCCGACAGGGTATGGTGTGTGCCTAAACAAGGTATGCATCATTCCGTGCTCTGGAGGCTCCCGAGAGGATCTGCAAGCCCCGCAAACACGTGGGAACTGGGGCGGACGGCATCAGTGGCGTCGAGCTTGTACGGCAGATTGGGCCTCTCCGATCTGCGTTCTAAGTGATTGGGAAATGAAGCGCATATAACGTGTGAGAGTGGCTGCTGAGGATCCTTTGGCTGCTCCTGGGAGATAGTGCTGACGTTATATGTACATGATATGTTTGGCGGACGACATCAACGTCCAGCGTCTGAGATGCCAAGTCTGGGAGGAGGGGATCAGGCGCTGGCATCGGGACAGACAAGTCGGGATTCCGATGACGTCGCGGAAGTGGAGTGGAGTGATTCTTGGCCGTGTTGGACAGCTAGCGCCTGTGCCTCTCCTCCAAAAATACTCGTCCTCTCCTTCAGAGCTCCTAAGTGATCCCTCTTGGTTGCGAGAGTAGGTCTATAAAATTGAGGAATAATCATTCAATGATCAGAGTACTTAAAGATTGCCGAGCGCGCACAGCCTACGTCAATCGAAGCGCAAGCGTATAAAGTGGCGAGTGTGCGGGAGAATGGAAGCCCCTCGTGCAGGCACACTTTGCGCGGCTTTGGTTGTCGTCCACGATCGATCGTGGCTATTGGGGCTGGCAGCTGGCGCCATCCTCGACGTCAACGCTTTTCGTGCATTCATATTCCTTGCCTTTGCCCACATCCAGTCGCTCCTTAACGCGCCCATACCCCCTATCCATCTCCATCTTACGACCCCTTCATGTGAGTCTCCTGCACCCCATACGCCCTGCAGTAGCTGATGGCCCGTGCGCTGTGCTAGGTCCTCAAATAGCCTCTCGCAGGCGCAGAGCGCCTCGACGGCGACCTTCGTCACCGCGCTCGTCTTCAACGCCGCCGTCTTTGGCATTGAGCTCGGCATCTTCACCCTAGTCCGTCCCTTCTTCCCAGCCATCTACCAGCCCCGGACGTACATACCCCCTAAGAGGTGAGTCGCCCTTCTTTATGACCTCGACACGCGAAAAGAGGCGGATAAGGAAAGAAGTTTGGTCGGCGCAGGCGGACGAAGGGTGCGAACATGATTTGCGAACGCGGGCAGAAGCCGTCACAGAACGCGGCGATCTGGAGAGGGCCCTCTGATGTCTTACGATGGCGCTGTTGGACGCTTGTCGGCAAGCGGGGTCGGTGGCGGCGGTGTCGTTCTCGCGCCCCCACCCAGCGTTGTATTCCCCAATCCCCCTCCGACGGGCTACAACGCTGTGCCACCGCGATTGGCGTGCTATGTTTGGTCGTGTGCCGCATGCTGTTACAATCCATTCCGCAGTGGCATTGAATGCGTACTAAAACATCTTCGCGACGTGCTTCCATTCCGTTTTGGCGTGGCGAGGAAATGTCTCGCATAGAGAAGGCGCACACTTGCGGACCGCCCCGTTTTTTCAATTGATTCCCACCAGCATGGGTGATCCGCCTCCTTCGTGCTAGCCGTTTCTGTTGCTCTGCATCTATCCGAGTTCCCCGATGCTAACCATGCACATCCTTTAGCCAACGCGTATCGTCCCTTACCCAGAATGACAAGACGCATATATTGCTATGGCCGTACAGGGTCTTCTGGTCAGACTACGAGGAAATTCGGACGAAGAACGGTATGGATGCGTACTTCTTCGTCCGCTTCCTCCGCATGTTTGCCCGCATCCTCCTCCCTATCTGGCTTATCTCCTGGATTGTCCTACTCCCCGTAACCTCCGTGGGCACAAATGTTGCGCCCCACACCGGCCTCGACCGCTTCATCTTCGGTAACGTTGCGCCCAACAAACAGAGTCGCTATGCTGCGCACCTCATCTTAACATGGTTCTTCACCGTCTGGATCTGGTACAACATCCGTCTGGAGATGAAGAACTTCGTCACCGTCCGCCAAAAGTGGCTGATTGACCCCAAGAACGCATCCTCACCTCGGGCGAGCACCATCTTAATCACCGGTGTCCCGCGCCGCTACCTCTCCGAGTCTGCCATTGCACAGCTCTTCTCGCACCTCCCTGGCGGCGTGGCGAAGGTCTGGCTGAACCGCGACCTCAAGGAAATGCCCGAGCTGTACGACCGTCGGCAGAGTGCGGCGAAGAAGCTCGAGTCCGCGGAGACGAACCTCCTCAACACCGCCGTTAAGCTGCACAACAAGAAGCTCAAGGCGGAGGCGAAGCAGGCCAAGAAGTCTGGCAGTAACAAGCGCGCGTCGGTCGACACCAACCGCCCGCTGACGGATCCCACTAGTCCCGCGAGCACTACCGACGTCGAGCGCGACGTGTCCCTCGCGGAGAAGCTCGTGCCCCGTAACAAGCGTCCCACGCACCGCCTGCCCCCCTTCGGGTGGCTGCCGTTCTCGCTCCCGCTGATCGGTCAGAAGGTGGACTCGATCGAGTGGGCCCGCCAGGAGCTTGAGACGACGAACGCGGCACTGCGCATTGCGCGCCGCACGCTCGCGCGCGACGTCGCGCTGTCGAGCAGCCTCCCCGCGGCAGAAACCAACCACCCGGACGCGATGAAGACGGACTCGGGGCTGTCGCAGACGTACCCGCCGCTGAACTCGGCGTTCGTGCTGTTCAACTCGCAGATCGCGGCGCACATGGCGGCGCAGGTGCTGACGCACCACATGCCGTACCGGATGGCGTCGAAGAGCGTGAACGTCGCGCCGGAGGACGTCGTGTGGAGCAACCTGAACATGAACCCGTACGAGGCACGGGTGCGCTCGGCGATCTCGTGGGCGATCACGATCGGGCTCGTCATCGTGTGGGCGATCCCGGTCGCGTTCATCGGTATCGTGTCGAACGTCCACTCGCTGTGCGCGACGTACAGTTGGCTGAGCTGGCTGTGCGATTTGCCGAGCGTGATTGTGGGGATCATCAGCGGTATTTTGCCCCCGGTACTGCTCGCGGTGCTGATGATGCTGCTGCCGATTATCTTGAGGCTGCTGGCGCGGTTTGAGGGCATGACGCAGAAGACGAGCATCGAGCTCAGTCTGATGACGCGGTACTTCATCTTCCTGGTCATCGTGAGTGGATCACTTGATTCTTGAGGATTGAACGCTAATGATATGGCTGGCAGAACTCGTTCCTGGTCGTGACGCTCTCGGCGGGAATCATCGCCGCGCTCCCGCAGCTCGTCGACAACCCCGCGTCGATCCCCACCCTGCTTGCCCAGGAACTGCCCAAGGCGTCGAACTTCTTCCTCACTTACATCATCCTGCAGGGCCTGTCGGGTACTGCGTCGGGCTTCTTACAAGTCGTGCCGCTCGTGCTGTACTACGTGAAACTGTTCATCCTTGGGTCCACCCCGCGCTCGATTTATGCCATCAAGTACACGCTGCGCTCGGTGTCGTGGGGCACGCTCTTCCCGAGCGTGACGCTCCTCGTTGTCATCAGTGCGTTGTTTTAACCTCTCTGATAACGAGTATCCAATACTGACAAACATCTAGCTCTCGCCTACAGCGTCATCTCGCCGATCATCAACGGCCTCTCATTCGTGACGTTCTTCCTCTTCTTCCAGCTCTGGAAGTATCTCTTCCTGTGGCAAGTCGACGGGTCGGCGGGCGGTGAGACGGGCGGCCTGTTCTTCCCCAAGGCGATCAATCACCTCTTCGTCGGGCTGTATCTCCAGCAGATCTGCCTCGCCGCGCTCTTCTTCCTCGCGGAGGACGAGAACAAGAAGGCGAGCGCGATCCCTGAGGGCGCGCTCATGATTGTGCTCATCGCGTTCACCGCGTTCTTCCACCTGATCATCAACAACTCGTACGGGCCGCTGATCGAGTACCTGCCGCTCACGCTCGCGGACGTGACGCACAAGAGCGGGCGGGAGCAGAACGCGATCGAGCAGGAGATCGAAGACGGGGATTCTTACGATGCCGAGGCAGTCGAGGCCAAGGGCGACGCGAACGCCATGCAGAAGCGCACAGCGCGCAAGCGCGTGTCCGGGGACTCGCAGCAGTCCGGGCGGGACGACGCGGACAAGACGAAGGTGCGCGACACAGACGTAGAGGCGGGCGAGCCGACGAGCCCGAGTTCCGTGAGCCCCACGCGGACGGACAAGGACAAGGAGAGCAATGACAGCAGTGTGCGGGGCGTGGACGAGGACGCGGGCCCGAAGGACTTCTACCACCCGGCGAGCGTGGAGCCGGCGCCGATCATCTGGATCCCGCGCGACCCGCTCGGGCTGGGCGAGGCGGAGGAGCGGGCGTGCAAGGAGGCGGGGCTGGCGGTGTCGACGCAGGACGCGGTCATGGACGCGAAGGGCCACGTGGACATCTCGGGGCCCCCGCCGGGCTCGGCTTCTTGGCATTGAGTGTTGCGTGAGATGACGAGATATGAGAGGAGGGAAGGGGGATGAGTACATCGACAAATCTGAGTCTTCTTGATTACCCCACACACGCGTACGAGTTCGTCTGCTACTACTATCCACTGCCCTCTGATCGCTCGTGTGGACTCGCCGTCCGTAGCCGTTGAGTAGCGATTGGCCGAACTTCCGTGTACTGCTAGTATCATAGTGTTTATTATTGAGTATTATATCGTGTTACCCATTAGCCTGTGCTGTGTTGTGCTTGTGGATATCGCGTTCCGGCCCTCTTTTCTCGTGCTGCTCGTGTTTGTATGCCTCGGCTGCGTCCATTGAGCCCTATGTCTGTTGAGCCCTGGGTCTGTTGTCGGGTTTGGCTACCCTCGGTCGTGCCTCTGGCGGCTCGTATACCACAGTCTCTACTTACCCGAGATAAAACTAGAACATATTTATACATACTGCGATTTACATCTCTCAGCATGTTGCCAACTTGTTCGTGTGCTGATCTTACATGAGTCCCAGATTGAACGCGTCCATCTTTTCCCGAATCCCGATAGTACTGCTCGACTGTCATCAACCGAATGCCATTCGTTGCCTGAATTGCCAACGTGCGATGACTCCGCAGTGAACCTGCAACCACGTCGACTGTAGTACTATCGTGAGATGGAAGCGACACAGTCCTCAAACGAGCGGCTGACTCAGACCTGGTACGTTAATTCAAGGTGCTGATCATCGGATCATACTAGTGGCTCAGTCTCCGTATTGTAGAAGGACCACAGAGCAAGAGCTGTAATGCAGGCAAGCGCTACTTTATATCAGACTCGATTCGCAAACAAACCATGTGCCCTTGTTGGCCCAGTTGCCCTCACTGGCGCAGGCATGAATCTCGAGTCCAGAGTGCGACAACAGCGCGTTTGAAGTTCGCTAGTAAGCACTTACAAGTGCAAGGGAGCCTCTTACAGTCAATGGGTGTCTACATCTACAGAACGGGTATCCACAGATGCGAGCAAAGGGTGAGACGTCCAGTACAACCGCTCGGAAAGACTCGAATAGACAACATGTATGCTAGTAGAACAACGCCCTCAAGCAATGAGATGCCCTACTTATGCGACACAAACGGACCGCGGGTGAGCGACGCGCTCGGAAACGCAGACGGCTCAGAGGTGGAACAACGCCCCCGGTACCGCAGACACGGCACCTGTGGCACGATGCTGTGACTTTGGAACACGGACGGTCGCCGACCTCGAGACCTGGCGATGAGCATGGGAACAGCATGCCCAGGTGGACGCTCAAGAAAAGGCCAGACACACCCACGTGTTGCAGCTTGTGTGAGAAGACGGTCGCAACTGATCGAACAGACGGCGTGCTCGCGGTAGGCAGCTGGGGGACAAGGATCGTCTTCGGGTTCGACGACGTAGCTTCAAGAAGACGCACAGAACGACGCAGGGTGATGCAACGGGCGGTGGCGCGCCAGGAGGGAGGATGATACGGGGATGACGCGACACTCGTGGAAGCAGGCTGGCGAGGAGGTGGTGGTGAGAAGTGGTGATGATACAGCAGACGGCTGGAGCCGGGATGACCATGACGGTCTTCGAGCGAATGCTCAAATGTCGGGATAAGAATGAACGAGCAACTAGACCCTGCTGCGCTTGGTGGGGCGCGGCGAGTTGCCACCGGGTATATCGTCCATACTGCGCCGCTTCGAGCTAGTGCGCATCGAGTCTGACGGCACCGCAGACTTGGGAGGCACGTAACCTCCCTCGGGTTTCTTGTCGGGCCCTTTGTCCTTCAGCGGCCACGCCCGCGACCCGAGAGTAGTGAGGAAGAGCTTGATGATTGCAGTATGGGAATCGAGATTCTTCCTTAGCTTCACGTACTTGTGCTCTTCTGATTGGGCTGTCGAAAGATCGGGTTCAGGGGGATCCTCACCAGATCCGCTCTCGTTGTCGTTCGCTCTGCTGAGGAACTCCTTCAAATACTGCTCGATGTCAAACTGGTTGGAAATGTTCTCCTTCCGGGCCTTCTGCTTCGTAGATTGGGCAGGAGTGTCGAGTGCATAGTACGCCCGGAACCACGTCAGGAGCTCGGATATGATTTCATTGATAGGATGCTCCTCTTCAGGAGCGGAGTCGTCCGAGTTCAGCGGAGTGAGGTCCGAACCGTCAATAGCACTGAATTGGGGGGAAGGTGAGCGTCCAGAAGGAATGTTGCTGTTCGAACTCGCAGACGGGCGCTCGGCGGGGGATGGACTGCTTCGAGGGGAAGGACAGGGCGACTGTCCCCGGGACCCTGCAGTGGGCGTAGGTTTGGCGGGAGGAGTCGGCCAAAGGAACTTGAGGATGTTCTTCGTCTTGTCGTCTTGATTGCCGTGGTACGTTCGGAGGTCGATGAAACCGTTCACCATCGCATCGTGCTTCGCCCTCCCGCATATGCAGTACCCATCGTAGATTGAGTAATCGTCGAAGTAGTCTGTCAAAAATTTTCCAACGCATTCGTCTTGGAGATTATGGGGGAGGAAGCGGATGGCGTAGTAGAGCAGGACGTGGAAGAAAGACTCGAGTTCGTCTTGGATGACGATCCTACGATGTGGATCGTTGAGGGCGTGCGCAGACATGTATTGCCAAGTACCCTGCAACGTACCACATGAGCACCCGAAGGCGAACGTCATACACATTGCGATACGAAGTACTCACAGTGCGATCCGGCTGACGACCCTCAAGAGATTCATTGTCTACCTTCTTCGACAGCTCCCAGTCGTTGAGCAGTCCGAGCCACTGTCCCTTCTTCCCTTTGTACATCAGTATGTTTCCCGCGCTGATATCGCGATGTATGATCCCAGCCTTGTAAGCTTCCGCGTGCGCTGCATATACAAACGGTGAGCATTTGTACGACTCCTTTGCAGCGACACACACCTGTGATGCAACATGCCAACATTTGACACAGTTGGAAAGAGCTGTCCACAAATGCCTCAAGGGGAAGCCCGACCTCCTTCACCACCACCCGGTAAAGCGAGTGCGTCTTCAAAGGGACTTTCTTTACTTCCGGATGCAACTCCTTCCAGTGTTCCTGCGACTTCGTGACCTGCCCGAGGTCGCCGTGGCACACCAACGTCGGCACGAACGGCACCTTCCGTTGGTTGAGAAACCGTAGTGTTTCCCCTTCCTGCTCGATTTCCGGATGGTCGACACGCCACGCGTCCTTCAGAAACACAAACGTAGCTTCGTCGTCAATTTTGCCTTTATCGTTGACAGGCAAGGCGATGTAGCCACGCGTGAACCGTCCAGCCACACCGGGAGCTTGGAAGTACGGTGCGCCGACAGCGAACTTGTGGATGACGGGCTCCAGGTCGCGTCCCGCGTCATCCTTGCGC